CTGGACACCATCATTGCACTTTAAGAAGGCAGTAAGCCACCTACCAGAAGCAGTCTTACAGCGACTTACGAGTGTCTGAGCAGGCAGCTCCTGAAAGGTAGCCGAGAAGGTCCAAGTTCCCAGCCCCGCTTTCTCTGTACCTACTTCCCCACAGACTTATGGAGTTGAATCAAGTGAATTTTCTTAATAGATTCTTGTGCTTGGCAGGAATCTAATCTAAAAATACAAAATTTTAATCTTCCTACATTTTTATTGCATTCACTAGCCACTGTAATTATCTCAATATCATATTTAATAAATGGTTCTCCATCCAAGGACTTCAAACTATGTTTAAGAATTAAGATGGCCTCACGTCCCGGTGAGGGAGCGAATGAGCTGTTACACGGAGGGAAGCTAAAGCACAAAGTCATAGAAAACCTTGCCAGGACTGGAACAGAAAATGTGTGGCACAGCTAGGAACAGATTTCCTGGCTCCCAGCCCTACCTCTCAACCATAATAAATTCCTTCCTGTACATACACATGCTCAAAGAGAAACTCCAGTAAATAGACGAAAAATGCTAAAACCCATGAAAATGGTTGGATAGATAATAACACTCAGGGCAAAGGAAATACCGTCCTGCCAGGGTTTGTCTTCACTGCAACAGGTAATGCAAGTTCTTTTGCATAAGCTTGCTTAACCAAAGTGAGAACAAACGCCTGTACCACGATACAGTCATACCTCTAAAAGCAGCAACAGTAGTTACAGAATAATGGAGGTACATCCACCCTTTTGTGCGTCTGACAACCTCAATTTAACAGTGCATACTCTGGCTTTGGAAGCACTGTAAGAATTTATTACAAAGTTATTAATGTTTAAGTTGTTTTTTTCCTCTAAATTAAGTAAGAGTTTTAGTAGTAGCATCAGCACCAGACTAAATGTGGTACACAAGACAAGTTCAAAATTCCTTTGACCTTTGACTACAACTCTTGTTTGATTCCACCACCGAAGACTAGGGTAACGCCAGAGGAAAACACACCACTGGCCAAAACAACTCCAAAGGCTTGGAAAGCTTTCCAATACTTGTTCTATTTCAGTGAAATATTTCTTTACCACTTAACTTCTGAATTTAGGGGATCCTGCCCCAGTGTCCTAAATGAGTGCAAGTATCCAAGTCTATGGCACCTAGGGGTAGGAGGAACTGGCAGCTGTTGGTGGCAGAGCCCTACAGCCGCTCTACTAGCACACTGCTAGGGTTAGAAGGACTTCTCCTTCTGACCCCCTGTGCAACGCTGGAATAGGTTTGCCACACAAATCCAAGATCGCTCAAGGGTGTAAAGGTCCTAGGTATCTAAAGTCGGATATCTAAACCCACATAAGCAGAGTTAAGTGGTAATCGACCGAAGGAGTGTATGAAATCTGTTCACTGCTGAAGTGAGAGATGATTTCAAGCGTCTCATCAGCTCTGAGCTTTAAGGACCCGAAGCCTCCTCTGCCTTTGATGCCTCTTCAAGAGCCACAGGAAGCCTGTTGATGGAAACGCAGCCTTTGCTCATCTAGCACTAGCAACAAATGACAGGTCCTAACTCATTCCTGTCGCTGATGCAGAAAGGCAGACTTACACATGCATCTCCTTGCAGCGGCAATATCGTTTGCTTTGGAGGAAGAAAAAGCCCCTCAGAATCCAGGGCCCTCCCTGCAGCTGCTTCTTCCTGCCTACCCCCCCTCCCCATCCCAAAGGAAAATTCCTGCTGAAGGAGCATAAGCAAGGTCATTACCACATCAATCCTTCCTCCGTAACAACTGAGAAACTTTTTTTCTTTTTAAAGTGTTGGGGCTCACTGAAGGCTTTTCGAAATCTGACATGAGCCCAACATCTTGAAGTGTGATCCAACGAAAGGAAAGCGTGCGATGGAGCTTCCTCCCCGCTCACGCTGGAGCCCGGCCAGAGGGCAGAACGCTCTCCGCTCCCGCAGCTCGCCCTGTGCTGACGCACGTTCTTCAGCTCGGAGAAGCTCGCACAAATTAAAAAGCTGCTTGATAACAACCAGCTGCCTCTAAATTAAGAACATGGGTATGCAATTCACCTTTGCCATTCACGTTTTTACACTAAAATGACTCAAACTGCCCTCTCAGTCATATATATACCTCCTCACTGAAACGTGACACAAAGTAAAAACCTGTCAACTCAGGGTTTTCAAATTTTGTTCTGCAGGTGGAGAAACCCTGCAGCTGAATGCTATTTCTGGAAGTATACAAATATCATCTAATTCTTCAAGCGCAGGTACTGTTCTGCACCAAAAGAGGTGCAGGGGCAAAAGAAAGTCCCAAAGCCAATAAAAACATACACCCAATCCCCTAAAATACATCTCTGAGTAGTGCCTGCGTTCGTAACCGGAGCAACACCACGGGCCACAGCGAGGCAGGGGCTCTGACAGGCAAACTGAAGGCTGGGGATGCACCTCCACGACTGCTCTAAAACACACGTACCATGGTAAAATGGACAGTGCCCCTGGTCAGACATCCTCACCCTGTCTCTGTTCTCCCACACCTTTGCCCAAACGGAAAATCAAGAACTAACGAATAAGAGAGACATATTCATTTCCATTAGTTTCTCTCTCTAAATGTGAATTATTGCTTGAGGTTTTGACAGGTGATGTCAAATTTCTGTACTTCAGGGATTGTCATTCCAGTAACTGAGCCTGCCCCACACCGTTTTCCTGTGCAAACAAAGCCAGAGCAGGAAAACAGCTCAGAGCTCCCAAGGCTTGATGCAGAACTCAGGGACACTTGCAGGAAAACTCTCCTTTCACCATGCAAGGCTGCCAGGAATTAGAAACAAAATTTAACCACAGGTGATGACTGCTTTTTGTGAGGAAAGCCAGGTAAGGCAACTTTATGCTAAGGTACAAGTTAAGCTGGACACACAAGAGACTCTGCCAAGCTCACATTTTCATTTCTTGCTGACTTAGACGTGTAAAACGCACTACGCTTTCTGATTAAGTATGAATTTCAAAAATAGCCAAAAAGGTTTCTTGTGGTTACAGCCTATTGAAGTGAAACTCCTTGATTTCACCTCAAAATCCAGGTGAGAGTTTCACAGGAGAAACTTATCACGAAAACTTGAAATAAATATGCAAGATCCATTTTTGCATGTTTCTGAATTTTGTCTGACATACCTTACATTAAGAAACTATGCTAAAACCCTGTGAAGTGCAGTTATTTACTCTCCTTTACAGCTGACTAGAAAGGTTTTGCCCAAAGCCTTGCTTAGGTACAACTGATTAAAATCTAGTTCAAAAGAAGCATGCCACCCAGCCAGATATGAAGAGATTTGTTATTCTAAGACTTAGAAATAGACTGGTTTTGATGCCAGAAGTGAGTCTATCCAAGCTGTTGTTAAATAAATGAGTCTGTCTAAATGAGATTTATCTCATATCTGCCCTTAAAGGTAGTAAGAGCTGCTTTTTTAATATTTGCTTAACAATTTAATTAGTTAAAACATGTTTTCATTTCATTAATCAGTGACTAATAGGAGTATTTTGTGCATGTGTGATAACTGCCCCCCTTTAAATCAGCAGAAACAATTGCATAGTGCAGTATTTATTTTGGCATATTAATTCTGTGCTTACACATTGAAAAAAATGCTTTCTGTACCATAAATTTTTAAAAAATTGAAGCTTTTTTTTTTAAAAAGCACCATCTTTCTGATTAGAAATAAAGCTTGGGATATGCTTTCTAATACAGACCAAGTTAAAAATTTCTCCTCCTACTGCAAAACATCTCAGTCCTGGGAATGTCCAAGAGCAACCCACAGGTTCATAACCTTTATGCCTCTCTCTTTCAGTAATTATTTGGTGAAATTATTTACATACCTATCAATGTTACTTTGTCCCTCCTGAGGCTTGTACTGGTGTATTGAGGGAATCGAGATAGAACTACTCAGCTGATTTCTGGTGGTGATTAACGTGTTATCTATCACAAGCAAAGCTATCTATCAAAAAATGTTATTTCAATCCTACATAAAACATCAAATCCCACAATTACTACTGTCTCCGAAGAAAAACAGGAATCTTAAGGCGTGGGAGTTATTCAGACCCTGAAAAGTCTCCTAACTGAAGAAAAAGATTTTGCGACGAAGCTTTTGGACTCCAGCAACGTTGACAAAGGAACTTTCAGGCAGTATGGAAAGAGTTAACAGAAGCTGCAGCCGCAGCACTCTGCTGGTGACCATTTGCACGCCTGTGAGGTACTGTCCCAGCAGACACATTATCAGATTAGGGGAAGGCAAACAAACTGAATTGAAACCATTCTTCAGCGAGTCCGACCTCTTCTTCCTGTGATGTCATGCTACAAATTGCCTGAGCCCTCTTCTCTCCTCTCCAGGAGGAGCCGGGCTGGCGAGAGGCTGCCGGGACGCCAGGGCCCTGCTCTGCAGGAACAAACACGCTCTGGAATTTCGTTTCTGCCCTCGCAAGCAGCTCGCTTCCCGCCCCATGGGGCCAGCCAGCCAGCCAGCGCTCGGAGGAGCCGAAAAGCTCGTTTTACAGAAAGAAAGCTGAGGGAGAAATGCAAGCGCCGACGTTTTGCGGCGTCCAGGAAATCGTTTTCTAAAGCGTACGTTCCCAGTACGTTTGGATGGACAAGACTTCGCCGTCATGATCTGCAGACAAGGATAAGGCAGAAAGTTCTCCAACAGCTTCATCGAATTGAGGGGAAAAAATGGAACTAAGCAAGCTTTGGGATGACCTCATTTGCCGCAAATGATACTTTTTTTGACTTGCGAAGACTGGCTATGTGATTACAAACAGCACTTGGAAGAGAAGGGTGACCTCCCGGTGATCACTGCTGGAGATGCACTCCCCTGCTACGGAGCTTCTGTTTCTTCTCTGAAGCTTTACAGTGCAAACTTACCAAAGCACACAGCTTAAATACATCTGCAAGTTCTGGATTTTTAAAAAAGTAACAATAAAAATACCAGAGAAACCTCCAGATCACAGGAATTTTAAACACATAATTATAATGGTAAGCTCTAATTGTTCCACTGAGGACTCCTTTAAATATACTTTATATGGGTGTATCTTTAGTATGGTGTTTGTTCTTGGCCTCATAGCAAACTGTGTTGCTATCTACATTTTTACTTGCACATTAAAAGTGCGAAATGAGACTACAACTTACATGCTTAATTTAGCAATATCGGATCTGCTTTTTGTGTTTACATTACCCTTCAGGATTTATTATTTCGTAGCGAGAAACTGGCCATTTGGAGACACTCTTTGCAAGATTTCTGTCACCCTCTTTTATACAAATATGTATGGGAGCATTTTATTTCTGACTTGCATAAGCGTAGATCGCTTTTTAGCTATAGTACACCCCTTTCGATCTAAGACTCTCCGAACCAAAAGGAACGCAAAAATTGTCTGCAGTGCAGTATGGATAACCGTGTTAGCAGGCGGTACACCAGCAAGCTTTTTCCAGTCTACAAACCACCATAATAACACTGAACAAAGAACGTGTTTTGAAAACTTTTCAGAAGATACATGGAAAACCTACCTATCCCGGATTGTTATCTTCATTGAAATAGTTGGGTTTTTTATTCCACTCATCTTGAACGTGACCTGCTCTACTATAGTCTTACGGACTTTGAATAAACCGCTTACATTAAGTCGGAATAAATTAAGCAAGAAAAAGGTCCTCAAAATGATTTTTGTTCATTTGGTGATCTTCTGCTTCTGCTTTGTGCCTTATAACATTACCTTAATACTTTACTCCCTTATGAGAACACAGACCTGGATTAATTGTTCAGTGGTAACTGCAGTCAGGACTATGTACCCCGTCACTCTGTGCATCGCCGTTTCAAATTGCTGTTTTGACCCTATAGTCTATTACTTTACATCGGATACAATTCAAAATTCGATAAAAAAGAACCCGTCCACTAGACCACGGGACATCAGATTCTCCGAAAGGCCAGTTTCAGAAAACTTCATTCAACACAGCCTTCAGACTATAAAAATGAAAATATTTGACAGTGACTCAACAATATAAACTGTATTAAAATACTACTGGGACTAAACTGGAATTAGAAGCCTGCACATTTCTTCAGCTGTGGAAATAAATCCTGATATGTAAATGTTACACTTCCTTCACATCAGAAAAGTTTGTAAGTCTGTAAAAGTGTTAAGCATAATAGTACACAGAAAAAAGTATTTTAAGAATTTATGTCAAATGTCTTTTCTGACAGGTTGTATGTTAGAAACGAACTTTTGGGTTTGGATTAGGTTAATCGAAGTCCACAGACTGTCTTGTCAGGTCAAACACAAATAAAAAAAGTAGGTGTTTTTTTTTTCTCAAGTTAAAACACTTGCTCATTTTTAATAATGATACTGGTTTCCAAGTTATCGAGGACGGGGGTGAAACTACCTGGTTTAGACTGCAGGATCCAGTTGCAGAGGAAAACAGCACCATACTGATCATATCACTTCAGCTACTGTGCCTGCTCCAGAGTTCCCTCTTCTCTCTCTCACTCCTCCCTCCTGTCTTTCTCTCTGCACCTTCCTTCTTAGGGACCATTACATTCATCAGAGGTTTCGATCAATGGGCTACAAGAATTTCACTTCTCCCAGGTTTATCTGATAAAACACATGCTCTCTCCACAAGCCTGGCCCCCATAAAGCAATTAAATCTTCTGGTAGTTTAGGGCATCTGGAAACAACTCAGACAAACTGGTTTTTCTTCTCACCTCTGTCTCAGATGTCTGTGTAATTATAACAAAATAACCTCTGATGATTGAAGTTAGCGCTTTACGTATAGTACCACTTTATTAAATTCTTTTGTGAGAAGTTCTTCCACTCAACATGACTTTTGAGCAAAATAACATCCTCCGAATAAGGTAATTCAATCTCAAAGTAGCAGTTTCTTAGAAAAAGACGACCTTTGCTAACTAGAAATGAGCATGTGCATCAACCCAAATATTTCTTCTAGGAAACTATTTGGTATCCCACAAAGAAAGTCAAGACACAGTGATTTTTAGAGTGAAACTTCCGCTCAAGCTTTGTGTCCTAGAAATATTTTTAACAAGAGCATTTAAAATTTCAAATGCTATTTTCTTGCAAACTTTATAAAGTATAAAAATACATTACGTGCTGGCAAAATTAATTGAGACACTTTGAAAAGTCAAAGCCGTGTAAAAGGAGAAATCTACATGTTATTACTGTTACAAACAGGAATATATAGACAAAAGTGCTTTAAAACATCCTGTTATGTATGTTTCCCAGCTATTGGAACATTGTGTACATTTTCCTCAAAATTAATTTAATATCGCTGTAAAATTAAATAAATATTTACACAGTAAAAGTAAGTAGTACGTGTTGGTTTTTCCTCCTCAAAAACAGTGGAGTCAAGAATAAAAACCGAGTTAAAATGAATTTGCACTTTAGATTTCTGGCAGTCAGCTGCCACACAGATACAGCACTGAGGGAGTTTTACTTCAGGGCAGTATACGGAAGCACGAATCAACGTTGGAGAAAATACATATTGAGCTGTCAGAGTATATGATATGTTATCTGGCTGAGTTTACTTCCCTTTGTGAATTTTTTGCTTAATTGTTATAAATCAACTGTACATTGCCTACTACTACTGGAAAACTGAGTTACTCAAAGATTGCTTGAAACTAACACCAACTGAATTTTAAATTTCACAGCATTTTAAATCTTTCTCCCCACAACTTAGGAAAGGAAAATTCAAATAGTATGAGGTTAAGCTACAAAGATAGCATAGGTATAAATCTCTGTATAATATCTGAAAATAGGCAGTTATATTAGCTGGGAACCCTAAACTCTTCTGATTCATGTCCAACTTCAGAAAAATGCATGAAAACCCCAGCACGAGTAGAAATTCTGTACGTTTTCCATAATGCCTCTGACAAATCCAAAGTTCAAAAGCCAGATTTGCATCTCTGGCATCTCAATGCATCTCCCTTTAAAGAGCCTGTTTAATATTAAACTCCCTCCAAAGACTTTGAGACTGAAGCCCTTCATGTCACCGCTGGGCTATGTTTCTAGGCTACTGCTCTCCCCAAGCTTGTCAAAGCTGTTACTCCTTTGAGTGGCAACTTGTTCAGCAATGCCTCTGCATTACAGCAGCAAGCACGCCGCAGCCTCACCCTGGTAAAGAGAAGCTACTCTTTTGAGATTACAAAACTGCACGGGGAGGCAGGGGGGAAGAAATCACTGACTTAAAAGCAGAACAAGCAGATAAAGTCGCATGTATGGGTACTCTCCTTTAAACTAGAATTTCCTTGGTGTATTAGCTCAAAGAGCCTGGGGAAGCGTGAGGAGTAGCTCTTTCTGCCTTGCACTCACTCTCCAGGGCCGTGCCTTCTGCTTTTTGCGATTGCATAGTGCAACACAGTACAACAGCTTTCCTACTAGTGTGAACAGCTTGAGATCTCGAAACTGTTTGAGGAAGCTTTATATTTTTTATTATTAAACATACTTCACTCTTTCAGGGGGATGGGGACGACAATACCAACAAAAAAGAACACAGTCAAAAAAGTAACGTCAGTAATTTAAGAGAATCTGACCATTACTTGAGAAATTCCTGATCTGACTGATTCAGAAGAGGGGGAGTGAACCTGTACCTCCCACAACAAGTCGATATAAAGCCAAGCTACCAGCTATTCAGGACTGGATGAGGTTTTTTCCACCTTTTCCAGTTCTGCAACAAGATTATCCTGGAGAGCTGTGGATGGAGCAATGTTTTCACTGGTACATTCCTGAATAGCTGCACTCCTTCCCTCTGCTCCTGCCTCTGATACCAACTCTTCTGTGTCTCGGGTAAGTCTCTTCGGTAATTATGCCAAAATTTAAATCTAGATGAGGAGTTATGCTCCTAAGTCATGCCTAGGCATCTCAAATAAAAAAGGCTCCTATTGTCAAAGCTGAATGTGTTGCATCCAGTACTTCCTGAAAGTACATTATTTTTACTCATATGCCTATGCAGGGGGGCGGTTCGGAGTTCAGTTTTAGGATCAAAACTTACAAATTCGTTCTTTGTAGTCTGGTTTCTTCATCTACAGAGTGCAGATACTGCACACTTACCAAAAAAATAAAAGCAGTGAAAATTTAGTTGATTCCAAGCATTTTTTTGATCTAAACCAAGCTAGGCAGACATTGGTAACTAGATAATTAACCAGCAGTTTCAAAAGACAAGGAAAAGGAAACAAACTTTCTACCAACACCTCTCATTTACCTCAACATACTATTACCTCAAAAGCAAAAGATTTCCCATTCTATATTTTTTACATTCAGCTTGAAATTTTAATTTCTGGCTTTCTCAGGAACAGAATGCAAGTCAAAATTTGTTTCACTCAGTATATGTGTCTGAGATTTCAAGAAATACAATACCAAATCAAATACGTCTTTATATTTATCATCTAAAAGTGCTTAAAAAAAACCCCACAGATGATACTTCAGGCAGGTAAGAAATTCCTTTTCTGGAATCAACCACCAAACTTTTATTTCTTAAGAAAGTAACCTCAGTCACAGAAATGCAAAGATTTCGAAAGAGCTCAGGAGATCAGGTAGAAGAGATGAATGGCTGTACGGGATCAGACCCCAAACATCCAGCTCATCTACAAACCTGCCTCCAACAGTGGCCAAGGCTGGATGCCTGCAGAAGAAGATAAGAGTAGGAGAGGTTTTCTCTTGTCCAAGTGCTGTCTCACTTCACCAGTTGTATCTCAGGACTTTCTGGGTCAGAAATGTTTGTGTGTTCAGCAAGACTAAAAATTTTTCTTCTGTGAGCTTGTCCTGTCTCCCTTTGAATGTGTGTAAACTTTTTAACATCCACATCATTCTGCAGTAAAAAGTTCACATTGTTTGTGTGTGTGGAGGGGGAACAAAACTGAAAAAACCAAACCTCCTCTGGTTTCAAATCCACTAATTTCATGACTTCCTCCTCATTTCTTTTGGAGGAGGCAAGGGGCACTTGATTGCCGTTCAGCCTTTCCATATCACTCCTGATTATACAGTCTTCCATCATCTCTTGCAAATGAGAAAGTGATTTTCACTTGTAATTTCAACCAGCATCATCGCCAAAGATGAGATTTTCAGAATTACATAAAGAACTCAGATAAAACTACAGTGAACCCAGCGAGGTTCACTTTGAGACTAATAATTTTGAAAATCTCACTTGAGCATACTATCCTCTAGCATTATTATTCTTCCAAGTTATTTTCTAGGAGTTTTATCAATGAAGAGCAATTTGTTCATACTTTTCCAGCAGTAAATGTCATATTATAAGGTTCTTGCACCTGGACAGACCTGTAAATCCTGACAAGCTCCCTTTTTTGCTAGATTATTATCATTTATACCTCAGGGTTACTGGCATTTGAGCATCACTGACAAAATGAAGGAGGAACTGCATTTGTTATGCAATTATCAGAGTGCTGAAAAAACCTGTATAAATACAACTGACAATCACTGAATTAGCACATTTTCAGAACATGCTCAATAGAGCTCATTTAAGACGAATGCAATTTCAGAAAGCCACGCTTGCACAGTCTAATTCTTCTGCAAGAAGTTGGATGGAGAAGGTTGTTCTAATCTTCTAATTCTGCTTTGAACTGAAGCCTTTCACATTTATCACCTCCCCCCATCCAGTTCCTGTTATACAACTGCTTATAAAGCAAGCCCAGTTTTTCCTGTAAGAAAACTGAACTTATCAGAAAATTAAAACAAAGAAAAAGAACCCTGCACACATCATCTGGTCTTCTATAAAACCTACCATTTTTTTTTGAAAACTAAACATTCCAGAACTGAGAATTTAGATTTTAAATTATTTTTTCTATTTAACAAGGAGTTTGTCCACTCTAGTTACAACAAAACTAAAAGCTGTCCTGCACTAAGAATGGATAAGTCTTCTACAGTTTAAACATGAGAATCAAACCACAAGCAACGACAAAGGGAGGCCTCTAACAAGAAGTCTGTATCATTTTATGAAGAGATAAAAAAATACTTCTCCACATACATCGCTTTAAGATTTGCCCTAACTCCACCTTTTTTAAACAGTGAGTTCCTGCCTTAAAGAAAAAAATTCTGAAA